CTGCAGTTTTCAATCATTACACTAAAGGCTGAAATACACTACACAACTTTTGTACAGAATTTTGCCCAATTTTCAGTCCAAACACACCAGTTGCCAAAAGTTACAGCCAGTCTGCAGATTTGGGTTCGACAGCTTTGGTTTGGCTTGGTTTGGTTTGGGTCGACAGATTTTTGGGTTGACAGAAAATTGTGTAGTGTATAATAGGCACAGACTCAGATTTTTTAGCCTCAAACTATTTCATCTGGTCAAACTACATTTGTTATGCATCTCTTACATGTTTCTGTTTGAGTTTGTTGTGTTTGAAAGTTGTTTATTGTACAATGTCCAGTTTTCCTCCGTAACCATATACAAAGTCGGAAAGTGTATGATGCCTAGTGTTTTAAAATCTGTTCAGATTACAAAGTTGTGTAGAGTTTTCCAATCTGGATAGCTTCAACACACAAAACTGAATCCTAAAAATAGCATTCCACATTTTGTATAAATAAACATGAGGAAGTCACTTTCAAAGAGCTTCCTCTGAGAGCCTTAAGATGCAACTGAAACTGTGTGCAACTGCAGGCAGCAGTGGTGGAAAGAGTACTGAAAAAATATACTCAAGTAAAGAGGCAGTAATTCGGTCTGAGCACATCATCCATGCACTGACTTTGTGGTCATGGCATAAGTCATTCTTTTTATTTCTTATCGGCTTTTTCACACGTGACCTAAATGACAGCTTCCCTGCATCACACGTGCTCACAACCTCCCACGCTGTGTGGTTAAAATAACTAGACCTCACCAGTTCTTCATTGCACGAAGATGCTCTACAAAAGAGGTTAAAGGCAAATGAGGTATGGAGGACATTTGTTTTAACCAGTTGAAGTCCCTTGCACTTTTAGATTGTCACAGCTGCAGGCCATGATGTTAATTCTCTATTGTAGCTTGGACAATGAGTAACGCCTCGCTTATATTGGTCCAATGAATGAAAGAATGAAAGAAAGGATCATCTGTGATTGGCTCTGGATGAACAGATAACATTGTACATTGTTTGTCACGTAGTAACTGCATGAGAACACATAGTGCTCTTGATTGTCATGGCTTAAGCTTTAAGTTGTTTTTCTTTCAGTCTACAAAATAGGTGCTATCTCTGTACTACATCATATTGCTCGAGCTTGTATCTGACTTGACCAAAATTACGCAGTTACCTCAAACCAACATCACTTCTTCATTTGCACCATCATGAGTTAGAACAGCAGGTCTCTGCAAAACACAAAAGAGGATGCAGTTTCTGAAATATGAAATGGTGAGAATTTTTCATATTACATAAGATCAATAATAATAGTCTATATATCTGCAAATATATTATTTGTTGAATTTGGTAAATAGCTTGAATCAGCTTTTGTTTTCTGACATAATCATATACAATACCTGTTTTGGGCGGTTTTACTGCAAATACAGTAATGCATGTGAAATTTATTCTCGCATTGTATCACACCACAGAAAGCTTATATGTTGATACGCTTGATTCTGATTGGTCAGTCTATTGTTAAATATATTTAGTATATTTAAAATAACCGCTGAAGTGTATAACTGAGAGTTCGGCTTGGCAAGCAGTTTCATACTTGTGCTAGTTTCATGTTTTTCATATCTGATTTCTTTTGTTTAACATAAAGTAATTTCAGTTCAAATCAACATTTCATGTACTTTTAACTAAGCACCCATGCAGTAAGTGAAACTTTATTTTATTTCCTGACTCAAGGTCCATTAACAAGAAACACACAATGCAAACCAAAACAATTAAAACAATTACACATTAAAATAAACAGTTATACCAATACTTCCTCATAGAGGACTGGTATCGCATTTCAGTAAGCCTAGGATTTGACAACACCATTATAATATTATTATGTGAATCATCCAAAAGTGAGATAATATACAGCTGGTAATTATCACAAAACAAACCACAACAATGTATCCATAATACAAAATGTATCACTATCTTCTCCACTGATTTATCTCGCTGTTCTCCTCTCAATAGATATTATCAAAGTGTAATGCTTTGACCACATGTGCGTGGATGCTGCTCTCTTTGTTTCCTGGTAATGATTATGCAATTCTGTTCAAATTTTAAGCACAGATTATAATCATTTGTTGGAAAATCACTGAATTAAATCTTCATACTATAATGCAACAATGACAATAAAGTGACTTCAAATGCAACTGAATATTTATCGGCTGTCCTGTCTTTTTCAGTGTTTATAGCTGGACATGCATTATTTAACGGCACCTCAGTTCAGACTGTTAATCGAGGAATGTCAGTCAATATCAGCTGTAACTACAAACCATCAACTGACAGTGATGACATAGTGGAACTGAAAACTAATGGTACATTGTGCTGCTCAGCAATGAACAGTAACAAATCATGGATATATCGGCCATGTAGAAATCACTTTAGATTTATTTGGATTCCAGAAACTGTGCAAATGGCATTTGAGATATCAAATCTGCAGATAAATGATACTGGCACTTACAAATGTGTTGTGACAAGATCTATACCACCTCCTCCTGTGCTTTTGAGAGAAGAAAGAACATTTGTTCAAGTGATTGGTAAGATTTTTATGAAACAGAAATCACAATGACAAGTGATTTGAGTGCATATATGGTATAACAGTGTATCATTTACAGTATTTGCTCTTGATAAATAAGCATTTTATTATAACTGTCTTGTATTTCATATAGCATGCCCCGTTGTGTCTGTGTCACATATAAGTGCATTGGGTGGATTTCCCACGATCCTGTGCAGCTCTGAGGGGTTTTACCCTTCTGCTCTAGAGCAGCTGTGGATGAGAAACGGAGAATTTCAGAACGCCTCTCTCACACACAGCATTAACAAAACCAACCCAGATGGATCATTCACCCTCCATTCATACCTGAATATATCTGACTGTGTAAACTACTCGTGTTGGGTAAACCACTCATCCCTGAGCCAACCAACAATACTCCACATGTCTCCTGATTGTTACGGGAACAGAGGTATTACGTGTTTTTATTTAAAGTACATAATAGCATTAAATACCATAGTGTGTCTCATTGGATGGTTCTGTTAAACAATCAGTTTTGTTATGTAATCTGCTCAATAACCTTCTTCTATAGATACAAATGTATGGATAGCTCTGGTGACCTCTGCGCTGCTGATTCTCACCATACTGATTATCACGGCTGTGTGTGAGCATTCCAGTGAGTTTAACATTTGATCTCCAACACACAGTGTCTTTTTTTTCTTATCAATTTAAATCTCAGTAACCAATGGCAGAATAATGTTGTTAGTGAAATCTAAAACAAATGCTATAATAATCAGAAATATTCTGATCAAGTCATTATTCTCATGTTCATCCAGGAAGAGCACATCACAGGTCTCATGTAAGAGTGAATGTCACACCTGAGCCTGATCTCCAATCTCACCTGCAGTATGACATATATTCATTGTTGGGTGACCATCGTCCAGTTCCATGCAGTCCTGTCAGAGTTCGCTCATCTCCACAGTGAACACCAAATGTTTTACACTGATAGATTTTACATTGATAGATATCCAGATCCATTTCTATCTTACTCAATAACCTGATACCAAATTTGTGTATGTAATATATAATTTCTATATGATTATTTAACCTTCCATTAACATCTTGTTGACTGTATATACAGTATGTTGACAGAGTATATGACACAAAATATAAGACCTGTGTTCATTGCCAGCTTCAGCACGTAAAAACCAATGAAATGGCTTGCAGGTTGTAGTTTTCTTTCCTGTGTTGGCTTATTACCTATTTAAAAAAATGTAGTCTTTGAAAGTTTTCTCATGACCTACATCAAGCATGTAGACACGGTGTGGTTAAAATAACCTGACCATTTCATCGCTTTCTCAGTTCTGCTGTAGGCTACAGTCAGAGCATGAAGATGTTGTTCTAAAAATGGAGTCTTGTTGGAGACAAATACAAGCAAATAAGGTCTACGGGACATTTGGTTTCACCATTTGAATTCCTATGCACTTTTTAGACATTGTCACACAGCTGCGAGTCATAATGTTTCTTTTTCAGCTTGGAATAAAACTGAACCCTGCTTGCTTTCAGAGCAATGCAACACTGTTATACTAGACTTGTCTAATCAATGAAGGCCTAAAAGAAGAGAGCTGACTGGCTCCTCACTGGATGAATATCTGATCAACAAAACAAAACTGTTATTAAGTATTTTAGTAAGTATCCTAAGAGTGATAGATTAAAAACAAACAAACAAAAAACTTTAATTAGTTCCTCTTTAACCTACAAACCCAGTACTATTTCAGTCTGCCTTAGTTGGATTGGTTGAGCTTGTTGATTTGACCAAAATTAGCTACACCACCACAGCAGACCAACATCACTTTTTCATTGCACCATCATGAGAACATCCAGTCTCTGCAATAGGCAAATAAAACAGAGGATGCAATTTCTAAAACCTGATAAGGTGAGAATATGGGAATTTCATTATACATAAAGCAAGATCAGTACATTAACAGGCTATGTATATACGGAAAAATATTATAATAATGCAGATGTTATGTTATAATGTTTTGTGTTGCTGGTGAATTTGGTAAATAACTTTGGGAGCCATAGTCACAGTCATCTGTCAAATCTGTCTTGCAAGATATTATCAAAGTTTGTTGAAAAACTGCTGATTTCACGGCTCTCTGGTATGTTTGATTCTGAATCGTCGATCGTATATTCTATGGTCAAATGTTTTGAAAATAGACGATTTTCACAAACCGTGATAACGCGTATCCTATACGAAAAAATTTATATCGTACGTTTTAAATAATGTACATTCACGACACTAGCTACACTTTCTGTTAGCCTATATTACACTGAAGTTAAATTACAAAAACGTTAACGCTGCTACGATGAGGTTTCTAATATCTAGCGCTGCTGAACTGATCTTTTTCTCTTCTGGCTGTTTTTGTTCGTATATAATCGTCAGTCGTATAAAAACGGAATAGTGGACCATGTCATGTAATGCAAATGTATCGCAATATTTCTCTTTTTGTTTTCTCCAGATGTCATCAAAGTGTAACTCTGTGACCACATGTGTGTGGATGCTTCATTCTTTCTTTTTTGGTAACGATTCTATTTAATCTGTAAAATTTATTTCAAATATTGAACCCCAGGTTAAAATTGAATTTTATTTCATTAAAAATTTTATTTATTACAGAATTGTTTATTTCGTAAATAATATTTAAAATTAAATAGTGAACTGGTTGGTAACAACTGAATACTAATTTTAACACATGGTATGATGCAACAATTCAGTTAAATAAAGTTTATTATTATTATTATTATTATTATTATTCCTGTCCTGTCTTTTTCAGTGTTTATAGCTGGACATGCATTGTTTAACGGCACCTCAGTTCAGACTGTTCATCGAGGAATGTCAGTCAATATCAGCTGTAACTACAAACCATCAACTGACAGTGATGACATAGTGGAACTGAAAACTAATGGTACATTGTGCTGCTCAGCAATGAACAGTAACAAATCATGGATATATCGTCCATGTAGAAATCACTTTAGATTTATTTGGATTCCAGAAACTGTGCAAATGGCATTTGAGATATCAAATCTGCAGATAAATGATACTGGCACTTACAAATGTGTTGTGACAAGATCTATACCACCTCCTCCTGTGCTTTTGAGAGAAGAAAGAACATTTGTTCAAGTGATTGGTAAGATTTTTATGACTAAAAACAGAAATCACAAAATGACATTTGAGTGTATAATGTATATTGTATAACAGTGTATCATGCATAGTATATGCTCTTGATAAATAAGCATTTTATTGTAACTCTTATATTTCTTATAGCACAACCCATTGTGTCTGTGTCACATATAAGTGCATTGGGTGGATTTCCCACGATCCTGTGCAGCTCTGAGGGGTTTTACCCTTCTGCTCTAGAGCAGCTGTGGATGAGAAACGGAGAATTTCAGAACGCCTCTCTCACACACAGCATTAACAAAACCAACCCAGATGGATCATTCACCCTCCATTCATACCTGAATATATCTGACTGTGTAAACTACTCGTGTTGGGTAAACCACTCATCCCTGAGCCAACCAACAATACTCCACATGAGTCCTACTGACTGTTATGAGAACAGAGACAGGTTTAATGGTATTACACATCATATAAATACATTACACATAATATAAAAACAATACAGAATGACCCTTCATTATCTCTCACTTACAGGTTATAATATTCAGATAGCTTTGTTCATCTCTTCACTGCTAACTTCAGTCCTCATGATCATCACAGCAATGTGTGAGTAGGCCTGTGCCATTGAATTTAAAATATGATGCTATCTCCAACACAATGTCGTCCTCATGTTTTTATGAATTTGTCATTGATCAGAGCTACCCATTTATTTTTTGCATCAATAATCTGTTCTCAAGGTTGTCCATACAGAGCCTGTCAGCAGCATGTGAGCGTCAGTGTCACATCTGACTCTGAACTGAAGACTGTGGTTCTGTATTCGATACTGAGTGATCATCATCCAGTTTCATACAGCAACTGTCACCTCCCCAAAACTGATTATTCCAGCTTATTATTCCAGTGAGACATGTAGACCTATAACTCAAAAAATAAAGTGTCTAAGTTTCAAACCCTGATTGGTGTTTTTTTCTTTAACTGGCCTTTTTGTCTGATTTTGTGTGAAGTGGAGAAGGTTTTAGCAAGTTCTCTGTGCAATTTAGAATGCCTAAAAACCTTCACTTTCTTCAGTCCATCTTCCAAGAAATGTAGCTAATGCGTTTATGCCACCTACTGATCTGTGGAGTGGACACAGAGCCATTTAAATAATAATCTACACATTTGTATAAAAAAATAAATAATAATTTATTTAAATATATTTGTTATTCATCAACAAACTTTCCTCTTGACACGTGTAATCATGAATCATACTATGTTTTGCTAATTCAGAACATACTATCAGGTGTTTTCAGTTTTAGTGTGTCCCATGCAATCCAGGTTGTGATATTATTTCATCGTTGTGATAGTGTATGAAGTGCTACCCACGTTTTTAACACTTTTATTAGAGTGGGAGTAGCTACATCATGATAGGTATTTCCTGTTGACAAGATGTGCCAGCTCAGTTCAGCACATTTAGGCTATTATGACTGTAGTGTATGCCCTGATAAAAATTTCCTGCTGACGAGATTGAAATAATTAAAGGTAGAATTAGTCATTCTGACTGGATAGGTCAAATTTTCACAACACAGACACCCTATCATAAGTCCACCAGCTTATCAGTTGTGATCCTGGACCACAAAACCAGTCATAAGTAGCATATTTGTAGCAATAGCCAGCTGCATTGTATGGGTCAAAATGATCGATTTTTCTTTTAAGCCAAAAATCCTTAGGATATTAAGTAAAGATCATGTTCCATTAAGATATTTTGTAAATTTCCTACCGTAAAAATATCAAAACTTAATTTTTTATTAGTAATATGCATTGCTAAGAACTACAATTGAAAAACTTAATATTTAGAATTTTTCTTTTTTTGCACCCTCAGATTGCAGATTTTCAAAATAGCTGTATCTCGGCCAAATATTGTCCTGTCCTAACAAACCATGCATCAATGGAAATTGACTGGTTTTCATCAAGCAGGCTTCTGGGTAATAGCTTTGCCTGCAAAACACCACTTTTCAAGCTAGAGGGCGCAATTGTCCCATTTATAAAAATGCCACAGTCCATTGCACCCCAGCCCTTACTTTATCATTATTTTTCCAAAGAAAAAAAATATTCTCCCTAAGTGACCACGGCCACGGCCCATTAACCTTATACTTCACATTTACTGAATTCGGAGCGGTATGCTTATTTTGATTAATTGTTGCTTTATTTTGGTCAAATTTACGGAGTAAAACACTTCCGTCCTTTATTTATTTATATGCGTGCTCTTCTACACATAAATGTAATAAATTATTTTTATTTTACTTTTTTCAATTTACTTTTTATGCATTTGTTATGTATATGCTTCTACCAACTGCAATTAATCTTTCGCTTCACGAATCAAAAGAATCGACTCCTGAATCATTTCCTTTGAGCATGCGCACAAGACAAAGTCACGTCACCCTTATTCGCGCGGAGCAGATCTGGAAGTGTGTTGTGAGCGGCAGCAGGAGTTGTCCACATGTGGATGAAAGGAAAACACGGTCAGTATGTCTGTTTGTAGTGATGTAGCGAGCTCGCGTATAACTGATATGTTTATTAGCTCCAAATATTAAATTAAGAATAATTTGAAACTAATGGTTGTAAAGGAAACTGTCAGAAAAGCCAACAGAAAATGAATCGAGGCCACCTTAACTTCGGCTAGGCTACAGTTAGCTAATTTCGTTTTGTGATAATTATTTCTATATTTTTTTTAAAGCGAAATACCTGGAAATGTAAGTTTTAATATGTGACATTTAAACAAGGCCGTCGTTGGCTCGTGTTACTTATTTAAGTTTAGTTGGGCAACTGAATTTTTCCTGTGTGACTAAGTTAACGTTAACTGACCAAATAAGCTTTTGCGCAAATAAAGAGCAATCATCAATACGTTTACAAAATCTGACTGAAAATTTTTTTTCTGTCGTCTTTTATCCGCAAGTGCTCTAACGTAGATAATATTTTGGTAGGTTAAACTACAACGCTGAATTTCAACATTTTTAGGTAATTATTAAACGTAATGTACTTTAGAAAATTAAAAACCGTTAAGGTCCATAGACTACTAACGTTACTGGTCGTTTCTGTTATGGTCTTGCGTTTCAAACGGTCGTGATGTATTTAGCGCGCCATCCTGCTGCTCTGTCCCGCCGTCTGACCGCCCAGCTTTGTGTTGATCACTTGATGTAGTGCACACTAGATGAAGTATCTATAGAGAGAAGATCTTGGGAGCTTACGTTTCTGTTGTTTTCGAATTTGATGGGTTGATGGTTTAGAATGAAACCTGTTCTGAACTTTAAAAAAGAAGTATGAAGCAGGATCTTCTATATTTAATAGCTAATGTTTTTTTTTTTTGTAGTAGCAGTAGAAATAAAATATATTTATGTGTTGATTATTCTTTTTTATTATTTAATGCCTTATTTAAGAAATGAATAAACAACTTGCATTTATGCTAAAATGTTTGGGGTCGGTACAATTTTTATGGTTTTAAATTAGATTTCTGCTCATCAAGGCTGCATTTATTTGATCAAAAGTACAGTGGAAATAGTAATATTACAATTTAAAATAACTATTCTATTATAATCAATTTAAAATTGACCCCTGTGAAGGCAAATCTGAACTTTCAGCAGTCTTCAGTGTCACATGATCCTTCACAAATCGTTCTAATATGCTGATTTAATGTTCAAACATTTCTTGGTATTATCAGTGTTATTTTGCTTAATGTTTTTGGAAGGTGTGGACAAATTTTCAGGATTCTTTGAACAACATTTATTTGAAATAGAAATATTTTGCAACATAATTGTCTTTATTTTCATTTATTTTATTTTGATCAATGTAATGCATCCTTTAAAAAATATTTAAAAAACGTTTGTGCAACTAATTTATATAATTATTTAATTTACACAATTTTATTGTTTATGACCAGATTTTTTAAATTGAAAATCATGTTTTGTTTACGAATTTATATTCATAGGAAGGAATTAATATCACAGGGTGTCATTGTGGTATTTGTACTCATGAAAGTCTCTGTATTCACAGAAGTTGGACCTGAATTTCAGCTGAACAGCTAACGATGAAGAAAGAAATAGCAGCGGTGGTATTTTTCCTGAAGCGGTTGATAAAGAAGAACGAGAAGTTGGATGCGGAAAAGGTGGACCTGTTTGTGGTGCGTTTAACAGTAGCATTGCAGGAGAAGTACAAGGGTCACTGGTATCCAGACAACCCCAGCAAGGGCCAAGCATTCAGGTACAGCACTCTGATAAGCAGTACTGTTCATTGACATTCTAATGACAAAGATCTCATGTTCCTTAGATTCACAGATAGTCAGAACAGATGTGTCATGTTAAAATGAGCTATAAATGTATCCTGTGCAGGTGCATCAGAGTGAACCGCTTTCATAAAGAGGATGCTGAATTGCTCAGAGCTTGTGCTGAGAGTGGAGTGCAGTACAAGGACCTCGGTCTGCCTAAGGAGCTCACGCTGTGGGTCGACCCTGGAGAGGTGTGCTGTAGGTGAGTTGATGAAATAAAGCAGATTTATTTAGAAGTGCTCTGCTGGTTTGTTTTTTGACATCTTTCCTTCTGAATTGGCTACAGGTATGGCGAGAGGAATCATGGTTTCACTGTAGCCACCTTCTCAAGTGATGATGATGATGATAAAGAGGATGTGACAAAGAAAGTGACGAGCGCTGTGGAGAGGGTCACGTCAGATTACCACTCCGGATCCTCCTCGGATGAGGACACCAGCTGTAGAGAGGCCCAGTACACCCCACCTCTCCACAACCACACTCCATATCAGGTACAAAATGTCATAAATATGTTTGGATTGCCTTAATTGCCACAGTTACACTACTGTTTAAAAGTTGCTACTTGTTTTATGTTTTTGAAAGTATCTTCTGCTCACCAAGTGACATTAATTTGATCAAAATTACAGTAAAAACGGTAACATTGTAAAATATTATAATTTAAAATAAGTCCCTGCTTATTAAAAAATAATTTCATAAAAGAATTCTTACTGACCTCATACTTTGAACAATAGTGTAAGTCTGTTGACGAAAACACAATATTAACAATATTTATAAGGACTCCTTATAATGTTACTAGGCAACCGTTTTATTCAGAAGTGTGATTAGATGTTTTTAAAGAGGCTTCAGCTGGGAAAATTTAGATTTGATTTATTTCTATCAAATATTTAACTGAAAAATCTTCTGTCTGTTTTTAAAGTTGTAAGAAATGTATAATTAATGGCCCCTACCACACAGTAATTCTGGGAAATTGCCGTTACATTACCAGCATGACAGCATGTAAATATACAAATGTGCTGTTCACACAAGCAACAACGTTCCTTCTTTTTTCCGTAAGATACCATTCACACATCACAACGTACCCACACTCATTCACAATCTCTGATGTCAGTCACCGGAAATTACCTGTAAAAGATGCGCTGTCTTCACCCACCTGAATAAGGAAATGTGCTTTAGTTTCACTATCTGTCCGATCTGATAACATTTTTTAAAACTTCTAAGTAACAGGCATAAGGATGATTATACAGAATGTGTTTTTGCACTAGACACATTATAGATACTAACAGTACCACAGTTACTTTATTTCACAGCTGCGGTGCTGGTGAATGGGGGAAAAAAGGCAGGTCTTGAGTGCGAGACATGGAGCAATGGTTGGACGTTTGTCTAGCGCATGTTTAGATAGGAAAAATAATTAAAAGCAGCAGTGCTGCTGAATTACTGATTTACTGGTATTGTTGAAGAGGTCCTGTTCGCACATGGTCTCTTAACGGTAATTTACCAAAAAAAGACTGTAAAAGGGGCTTTTTTTTCTTGAAGAAAAGGTGAAACACTTGCTAAAACTTTATTGTTCAGAAACAAGTAACATTTTGGCCATCCTCAAAGCCTTTATCAGACATGTTAGTTACAAACCTTACTTGTTCTTAATCAAAGTTTAAGTGAGTGTTGCACCTTTGCTTTGATTTTTGGTTGCATCTCCTCTTCAGCTGGTTGAGCACACTTTCTTTAACTTTTATGTGAATATAAGTTTTTATGCAATGAGTATAACGGATATGGCATGAAAAATAATATTTTGAGTGTACATTTATTGAAAGTGGAGCTATGAATTGTAGACTATTTTTAAAGGGTATTTTAGCCAAGTTACTTTTATCAGTAAAATATATTGCCTTTTTAAGCATTGTTTCTAACTATTTCTGCTGTCATCTTTTTTATTAATACAGCTTGTATATGCCAGTGCCCCAGTATGGCATTCTGTACCAAGGAAGAAGTTCGGCCCGGGGAAAGGGCATTACCTTCAGCGGCCACACTACATGATCCGCCCCCCTTGCAGACCCAGCCATTCCTTTAAACCGCACAGCTGGGTCCAGCAGGGGTACCGCAGCAAGCACGGCTACTGGGGCTGCACTTCAAACCTAGTACACCAGCTTCAGTGACCACTGTTACTACAGAATGAAAGTTTGTTGGTGTCAATGTGAGGGGTTTTCCATTGGAAAGTGTTTTTTGAAGTTACCACTAAGATGACTGACCAAATTTTAAAAAAAATATATATTTTTGTAGTTCTGCTGTCACTGTTTTTTGAATTTGTGACTGGTCAATTAAAAAAAAAAAATGATAACAGTAACTGTTTGCACTTTAGAGTATTTGTAATAGAACATGTATAAGGTAAACTTCGTACATATTGGATTAGTAATATTTCAAGTATTTAAATGTTTATGGTAATGTAAAAAAAAAATATTTTTGTAGTTCTGCTGTCACTGTTTTTTGAATTTGTGACTGGTCAATTTAAAAAAAAAAATGATAACAGTAACTGTTTGCACTTTAGAGTATTTGTAATAGAACATGTATAAGGTAAACTTCGTACATATTGGATTAGTAATATTTCAAGTATTTAAATGTTTATGGTAATGGAAATGTGCTGTATTTATGTTATATGGGATCATTTGATAACACTTTACATCATGTTTTTGTCATAGTTTCAGTGACCAAATGTTTTATTTATTCACAGTAAAGTATTATGTATTGCATAGACCACTTAAATTATGGATAACATTAAAAAACATTTTCAAGAATATTAAATCTTTTATTGTTTGAGGTTACTGCTGTATTTGTAGTTTTGTTAGAAAAATACTAGGTGGCAGTACGACATAATATTTCACTCCTTTTCTTTATGCACTTTAAATTAGGGCACAGCCAACAAGGTCTTAGTGTGCAATACTTTGACTTGTTTTCTCAATAGTATAGAACTGCAGTGCTCTTTTTATAGTACAGTTTTATTTAGCTCATTCTCAAGCAGTTATTTTTTGGTATATGGAAGTTTTTACATGGACACACAAGTAGTACAGATGTGTTTCTTTACGAGTCAGTTCAACAAGTTCACTATGCTTGCCACACCTCCCTCTCAGCAGAGCAAACTGTTCACAAACTCTGACCAAGTTTAAGAGGAAATGATTACAATTCATGGCTATCAACCCCACCATTACAGACTCGAGAGGAATTGCCTAACAAATTCACTTCGCTTTTTTACACACCCTTGTCTGTTATACATTACTAGTGTGCATCCAATATGCGCCATGTGCTTGGATGACAGGTTGCTGTTAGTGCACTGTTCAACAGTATTTGTGTTTCATTACAATTATATTACATATTGCACACCACTTTCAAGGTTTTTTTCTAGTGCACAAACCCACTTTCTGGAATTACAAAATGAATTAATTAGTACTTGTGCTGGTTACAGTTGCACAATTCTAATCAAATCTAGGCAACTTCATGGTAGATCAATAACAATTATGGGTGATCATATGTTGCTATGTAATAGGCGGAATTTTATATACGTTATAAATATAAATGTCAATTAATTTATTCAACTGATGTGTTTGACCTAAATGGACAGCATGCTGTTGTTATATGATTAAACTTGCAAAAACAGATGCACATATTACAAATAATAAATAAGATCTTGACAGTCAAGTAAATAAAACCGACATATACTCCACATCATTTTCCCAAAGTAGTGCTACCCGATTCGGGCATGATTCACACATGAATCATTATTTTGAGTCGGCTCTTTTCTATTAACTAGTCAAACGAATCAGCAAATCGGTCAGAAATGAATCAGTTCGAATGAGTCGGACAGCTCCCTCAGGCACTGAATCGTTCGGAGCGCGTTTTCAGTGAGTAAAACATGGGACACTTCGAACTAGGGATGGGCGATACCCCTTATTTTGTTTTCGATACGATACCGATATTTTTCAAGGCAGTATCGTCGATATCGATACCGATTCGATACTTCTGCACTAAACTTTTAAATTATGAATTGATACTTCGGATCGATACGCCCATCCCTACTTCGAACACAAACAACAAAAACAGCGATTTAATTACATTAAATTGAAACTAAACCTGCAAATGGATCCTATCGTTTGCTAACGACGAAGATCTGTTTTAAGCTCAACACCTGCATTTGCTGCTAGCAAACGACTCGCACTTCGTATCAATAGACAATCAAAAAAGCGCTCAAAGTACCGTTCTCCAGTACTGACGAAGGCCTAGAAACGCCCCTGCTTGTAATATACAAATAAAACATGAGAAATAAAATCGGAACTGACGTCAATTCACGAGGACGAATGATGTGGCAAAAAGTACAGGGCGATTCGTAAAGAACTAGTACCGTCAGCCTTTTCGCTCAAACTTATCTTATTAACTTCTCCCATATCCAAATATACTCATAACACATTCGCGATATATTTATGTGTAATTTGCATCTAAGTAGTAAAATGTTGTTGTCAAACAAGCTAAAATCCCTCTTCCTCACAGGACACGTATCCCTCCGCCTCCATTGAGGTCTACGTCTCTTTCCGGTGCGTTTCTCCACGGACGGGTTCCGCCGCCATTGCAGGTTTCTAGAGTTCCTCTCAGCGGCGGTTGACATTCTGGAGTTGAAGCGTCTCATTTACATTCAGCGGGCGACTAGAGTAACCTAACACATTCCCAGTTCATCTGCCCCCCCAAAAACACAAGACCACCTCCATTCATTCCCGGCTCTGGAGTTGTTTAGATTAGGCAGAAATAATAGCAAGAATTAGAGAGGAAAGCGAAGAGGAACCACCGTCATCATGGCTCAAATCCTGCCCATCAGATTCCAGGAGCACCTGCAGGTAAGGACTTTAAAACATCTTCAAATGAGGGGCTCGTTTATTTTATTATGAGTTTACAGTGAAAACGTCAGTGTGTTTTTAAATAAGCAATTGTAGTAACCCATCCCCCGTTGAATATGACCTTCCATCAGCAGCAGTACGTTAGTAGTAGCAGGGGAGTTAGCTTAGCTACTGTCGGTGTTGACCAGCTGAATAATAAATACTCTGGTTGTGTCACAAATAAAGCCCAGTGAGTTGCCTTCCCAGACAGCATTTTTGAGCGTAATTCTTCAATTATTTAGAGGGTTGGTTAAGTTATGTAAATATGTATGGATGTAAATGCAGTGTATTGAAACTATAATGTAGCTTGAAAAAGATTTATGGCTGGAAAATTAAATTGATTGTTTCTAGAATATATTGAGATTTGTATTCACATGGCTTATAAAAACTATTCAGTTGTCTTTACCTCTAGTTGTGTCCTTATATAAAAAAAATCACTTGCAGAGGAAAACTTAAATAAATAGACTCTTTATTTCTTGAAATGAATCACTGTTTAAGACAGAAGGGATTCAGTCTTGTTTTATTCCCTATTCCCTGTCCTATTATATTAAGACAGATTTGTGATTGAGGTGTCGAGATTACCTGCTTCAGGTAGCAGGTGTAAAATGCCCCACCTATAGACATGTGTATGGTCCCATGATGCCTCTGCATTTTTTTATTATTAGTATTTGCACTGAGCTCATACTTTGTTTGCTGTCACTTCTTCTTTGTCTATATCAGTTGAGGCTCTCATTCATCTTAAAGGCGTTTAGGACTTGGTGTAACTCATTTTATTCAACTGTTATACATGTAATGCATTTTCTGTTTAAAGTAATCATAGATGTTTTGAGTGTTTTTTTTTTGTGTGTGTGTGTGTGTATTGTTGCTTCTGTGTCCTTGACACAGGTCATATTATGACAAACAGTCTTGGTGTTGGATCAGTTCGCTATTGTTGAGCATCATATTTACACGGTGCCAGGCCTGTAATGGTCTGTGTTTGTCATTTGTAATAGGTTTGCGTAGTAAGTGACCACTTGTCCACATCACAGCTAATTTTGGTCAACAAACACAATTGTCAATACAATGTTGCAAACTTTACTATGTTATTCGCTCATTATTTCAATACAATTATAGTATCAAATGGTACCAAACAGGACTTTGATTTCAGGCTGTTTGATTGAAATTTTTCTTGCAAGTTATATTAAAGGGGTCATATGATGCGATTTCAAGTTTTCCTTTCTCTTTGGAGTGTTACAAGCTGATTGTGCATAGATAAGATCCCTGAAGTTGCAAAGACTAAAGTCTCAAAACCAAAGAGATTTATTCAACTGTTATACATGTAATGCATTTTCTGTTTAAAGTAATCATAGATGTTTTGAGTGTTTTTTTTTTGTGTGTGTGTGTGTGTATTGTTGCTTCTGTGTCCTTGACACAGGTCATATTATGACAAACAGTCTTGGTGTTGGATCAGTTCGCTATTGTTGAGCATCATATTTACACGGTGCCAGGCCTGTAATGGTCTGTGTTTGTCATTTGTAATAGGTTTGCGTAGTAAGTGACCACTTGTCCACATCACAGCTAATTTTGGTCAACTCAAAACCAAAGAGATATTCTTTATCAAAGTTAAGACTCTGCCACGCCCCCCTAAAACGGCTCGTTCTAACACGCCCCCACATATCTACCTCACTATGTGGAAATATTTGCATAAACAGTTTTCTTTTTTAATATTTTAAAATATATTTTTTTCCTGTTGTGGCAGAACTGAATTTTCACTTGTCTTCAGAGTCACATAATCCTTCAGAAATCATTCTAATATGCTGATTTGCTGCTCAAGAAGCATTTCTTATTATCAGTGTTGAAAATGGTTGTGCTACTTAATATCTCTGTGATACATTTTTTTTTCAGGATTGTTTTTTAATGAACAAAAATTCTAAAGATAAGCATTTATTTGAACTAAAAAATGTTTGTACTGTCACGTTTGATCAATTTAATGCATCTGCTGAATGAAAGTAATAATTCAATGCATTAGTTGTAAAAAAAATAACTTACTAGTTAGTGTATAAATGAATGAATTACATGACTCACTCATACTCTGCATCTGAATCTTTTGTTTGAATAAATCTCAATGTGTACATAGAAAAGCACTGTTAGGAGGTTTCATGATTCAGCTAACGGCTGTCTTTCCTTTCTTCAAATGTGGTTTATGCCATCATCTCTTGTATCTGGCTTGTAGTTTGCTAACTTACTGGTGAAGATCTTTATCTAACCACTGTAAAATAAACAGTCTAAAATGGGAAGTCAAGTACACCTGCAGACAGGGGAGAGATTGTCAACGCTTGATCTGCTTGATAATTTCAAATTTTTTTTTGGCTACAGTGTCTATTTGTGTGAATTGGACAAGATCCAAGATTAATAGTTTAAAGAATAATACTATTATTTGAAATCAAAATAAATGATAATGAACAATGATAAATGTTGTGTTTGTGGAAATCCGGCTTAAAAACAAAAATGC